CTCGACCCCGCACAACATGATCTACTCGACCACCATTATGGTTACCGCCAAAAAAAAAACCGAGGTAAAAAAAAAAAAAACGGTAACCTGGTTGCCGAGTTCACGAAGTGAATTGGCTTGTTTTACAACGTCGTTGCCAAGCGACGAAAACCCAATCCCGATGGCAAACACCGAGGGGCGGGGGGGGGGGGGGGGACTCCTAGTCGTGCATGCCGTAATCGTTTGACCATTGACCTCGCATCCCTACAAAGCCGGGACGGAGCACGCCGGGTTCTCACCGGACCAGGCTCTCACATCACCAAGCGCGAAGCGCCGTGAGGTATTTGGCGAGTCGCATGAAGGGTGAGCTGCATCCTGCTAAGGGTGTTCGGCATCTTGGCTTACTTCCTTGCGTACGGATGACAGCTACGTATGACTTAGTTTATTTTCTGGTGCTTTCACTTCCACAGACAGTTGTAAGCACTGTGTAACTGCCTCGAGGAAGCTTGACCATTTTAACACAACGTGGTGCGATCATCCCCCGTTGCGCGGAGTGAGGGTTCTCGACCCCGCACAACATGATCTACTCGACCACCATTATGGTTACCGCCAAAAAAAAAAACCGAGGTAAAAAAAAAAACGGTAACCTGGTTGCCGAGTTCACGAAGTGAATTGGCTTGTTTTACAACGTCGTTGCCAAGCGACGAAAACCCAATCCCGATGGCAAACACCGAGTGGGGGGCTTGTTTTACAACGTCGTTGCCAAGCGACGAAAACCCGACCCCGATGGCAAACACCGGGGGGGGCGGCTTGTTTTACAACGTCGTTGCCAAGCGACGAAAACCCAAACCCCGATGGCAAACAAGGCCGAGGGGGGGCGGGGGGGGGGGGGGGCTCTTTTATGTTCTGTACTTGCCTTAGCGGTTAGACCATTGACCCCGCGTCCTCGAGAGGACGGAGCGTTGTTCCCGCAGGACAGATCACAGATGGCCCATCCTTCAATCCTACTTTAAGGTTGGGGGGAGGGTTATGCGGAAAACAAACCCGGTTTCAAGCAGCGATGCTCGCCCTCCATTTCTC